CCCACACACACACACACACACACACACACACAGAGAGAGAGAGAGAGAGAGAGAGAGAGAGAGAGAGAGAGAGAGAGAGAGAGAGAGAGTTTGTGTTTACATGGTTGTATGGCAGTGGCTGGGGGTGGGTTGTGCATGTGGAGGCCAGGGGACAACCTAGGTACTCTTTCTTAGTCAGTGCCTCCTTTTGTTTTGAAACAGAGTTTTACACTTGCCCAGAGCTTGCTTATCAAGCTTAGTTTAGCTAGTTGCTAGCTAGCCTCAGGGATCTGACTGCCTCTGTCTCCCCAGGGTTGGGATTAACATCCAAATTACTGTAATCAGTGAATTTAATGGCCACCAGAAAACATGTATCTTATATTAGAGAAGTGGTTAGATTGATTATTTGGAGGCTGATTTTTCTTAGTCAAAGTAATACGTTTTCTTTTTTTGTTTGCTTAGTTATTTTTGCTATTATTTTCCCTCAAAGACATTGTTTTTCTGTGTAACTGGAACTCACTGTCTAGACCAGGCTGGCCTCAAACTCAGAGATCAGCCTGCCTCTGCCTTTGAAGTGCTGGGATTAAAGGCATGCACCACCAACTACTGTCATTCTTTATGTTCTTTAAACCATTTCTTTTTACTACTGTAAAAATTTCCTGTTATATTTTGAAATGTAGTTGACGGGAGAGAGGGAAAGGAAAAAAATTACAAGGCTACATAGGCAAATTGTCTAAATTCTACCTTCATCTCTGATACCAGCTGTGTACCTGTGGGTACGTGAAATTTCAGCCCACCTTAGTTTTCACTCTAGTAAAATGGAAAAAACAGACAGGACATGCCAGATATAGCCCTGTGTTTGAGGAATAAGACTTTATAGCTTGCAGTTCCCATTACTTGGTGTTGTTCAACCTACACAGAAAGCCATGTTGAAGAATAAGGAACAGCTTATTATGAAAAGAAAAGCATATGATTTAAAGCACACATGCATATATTTGGTAAATTCCACGTTATTTGACATATAAATATAAATATGCATGTATAATCTTTACAAAACTGTTGCCTATACAATGCTAACTGAATCATGGAGACAAAATATTACGTTTGAAAAAAATCTGTGGGCTAAAGTGAGTTTGTTTAAAACATAGTTTAGAATACTGGCAGCTTTGTAGTTTAAATGTTGGGTTTAGAAAGCCTGCTGTAGGCTGTGGTGTTGAAAATCCTTTCTGTATCTATCTCCACCCCTTTTCTCTAAGGAAGATACATTATCAGGATTGGGTATTTTGTCCTACTTGCAAGCTAACAACAAACTTGCCAGTTTTTCTACAATTTGGCAGAGGCACGGGATGCCTAGATCAGAAACAAAGGACTTCATTACTGAAAGTACAATAGGAGCCTGGGCAAAGCTCCCTTGGACCAGTGGGAGCTTCCCAGAGAGCCTCAGTTACGTAAGCAGTGGGCTTGCTATCACACTGGAGGAAGTCTGTGGTTATGTAGGTTTAGTCTTTTTAAAAGGGCTGTTAGCAAACTGATCCAAATTTTAACCCAGGGAGTGGGGGTGGGAGTGGGGGTGGGTACTGTCTTTGAAAACAAACATGTAGAAATCAACAGACCCATGGAGATCTGACTCCCAGCATAAAGACAACACTTCAGTGAAACTCTTTTGATTTAAGAAAAAGGTACAGAGGAATTCTAATTTTAAATTTACATTAGTGTTGTAACTACAAACAGCCCTTCCTAAGCACTTTGAATATGCGATTTGTCAATTAGAGTAAAACTTGGCATGGATTTCTTCTGCCAACAGTTTATCAGTTGGTACCCTGTGAGTCACACTCTCATTCATTCTATCAAGCAGGTTTTTAGTCTGCTTCTCTTTTAATATATCCCAATATTAGCTACAAACACAGCTATTGCTGCAGAGACTGGCACTTTTTCAATAGTAGGGTGGATATTAGCAACTTGCTTCTTTCTACCTCTTCTGATAAAATAGTTTCACAAGGTCCAGAATGTTCTTCCGCTGCAGTACAGCTAAGCAATCTTACTCAGCTCTGCTATTACTCAGCTCTGCAAGGCTGATTTCCAACATTTTGACGTTCTCAATTATTTTTTTAATATTAGGGCTTTCTTTTTTTTTCAGAAAGAAATGGTATCAACTTTTGTTTGTAAGCTAATTCTAATAGCAGTACTGCTTCTTTGAACTCTAAACTTTGGAGACACAAAAATCCATGAGTTTCAGAGAAAAACAGGCTGGTTGTTGCTTTTTGTCAAACGATAAAAACCAAAGATGTTCTCTTGATGTTTATAATCAGGCAGCACGTCTTAAGAGATTGCTTAAAAGTTGAATCACCTGTAAAGTTACCAAATAGCCGAAGACCCCATGCATGTAAACAGCATTCTTTTAAAAATAGTATATTCCTACACAGTATTTGGAACACACATGAGTTTTAAAATCTATTCAGAAATCAAATTCAACCAGACTCCCTGTATTTTTATTTGCTGCTTCTGGCAACTGCGACCACCACTACAAATTGACAAATACCCTTTCTCACATTAGACATCAAATGTAGCATAGCTATGATCAAGGTTTCAAAGTTCTGCTGCTGCATCCACACTCTATAGAACTGTGAGTAACTGCAAAGTTACAACTCTCTGGTTAAAAGAACTACGGATAGGTTAAAAGAAGTCATAGGCTGATTGCCTCGGGGATTCTACCGAGAAAGGAAACTCTAGGAGTTGATAGCTTAGAGAAGCTTTCCACAGAGGGTGGGGAAATGACTGTGGAGGAGGCTTCTGGAAAGAACTTGAAAGAGCCAGTAAGAGAGATGAACTGGAATCCATGAGACAAGCTTCAGCCAATCATAGCTGGGATAGGCGGGGCTTGCCTCGGACAGGGGCGGGGCTCCAGAGGCGGAGCGGGCTCCCTGCAGTTCAGACCTTTCCGCACCTGTCGCACACCTGTGCCTTCCTCGCAGCAGCGCTGACGTTGACTTACGGGCGACTCGTGACTCTTGATCCGCTGGTCATGGCCTACCCAGGATACGGTGGAGCGGTAAGTCCTCCCGAGCTGTGGCGACCCTGCGGGCCGCGTCGCGATGTGGAGGTTACCCTCTGGTCCTGACAGTGCCCTCTGTCTGGTACCAGGCAACGCCGGGACTCTGCGTAGCGCTAGAAGCTGGAGCTGGGCGGGGCCCTGAACCCAGGGGAGAACTGCGAGTTGGGGTCTGATCCAGAGCATCGAGAAGCGTGAAGTGTTTGTGACTTACAAATTTCGTTTTCAGAATGGAGGAACAAAATACCATGTCTTCTTCTAGTTACCTTTTGCGATTTGCGCCCCCCCCCCAATCCAGGTAGTTTTTCTAGCGATCCTCATCCCGAATTATTCATTTTTAATAACCTCTTCTTGTCTTTTAAATTGCTGGGGAATAAATTGGGACGAACTTTCAGTGCCTCTTAAACTTTTCTGTAGTAACAAGCACAATCTGACTTTCTAGACTTTGCTTTTGGAGGGGGCTGGGTTTTTCCCTCTCATGTAACTTTACCTTCAGTACCTCTGAGAGTTACAAGGAGTTACTGCGGCTTGTGAGAAGGAAGACTTTCCTTCTTTCAAAAGAAACCAAACTTTGACTCCTCCCATCAGTGACCTGCACAGTGAGGCAGGCTATCAGGCTTTCAAGTGGGGCCTTGCCGTGGTCACTGCAGTGGGGACAGAAGAGAGCGTATATTCTATGCCTATTCTTATTTGCCACCCTCCTCCCCCCCCAAAAAAAAGAGAAGTTTAATGTTTTATTACAGTTCAAAAGAGTTGACATTGGAATGTGATTATGGTCCTTAGACAAATAATTTCTACCCCTGAGAGTAAGTGATGATTATTTTTAAAAGTAAGTTTTAGTTCCAGGCCCTCAGCTTCGACAATATGCGATACCAAAACTGGTTTGCTTGAAATTACTTGTTTGAATTTCATCTAACACCATGTACTTTCCAATGTATATTCGCCATTAGTCCTTGAAATGCACTGAGCATGCCCTTAAGGTAATGTTATCAGCCCACACTTTGATACTTGTTATAGTTAACAAAATAGAAAATGTTCTCTGCTACATAGTGTACCTTTATCTACTAAAATACATAATTTATGATTTTAGGAAATGCATTTCCAATAGATTTTCATTTGTTTAAATATTATTTATCAAACACAGCTGAGGATGTAGCAACAATTGTGAGCGAGCTTGCTAGCATGCTCAAGGTCCTGGGTTGGAACCCCAGAAGCACTTAAACTGGGCATGGTAGCCTGACCTGAAATCCCTACACTTGGGAGATGGCTGCAGGAGTTCAAGGTCATCCTCAGTTTGAGGCTAGTCAGAACTACCTGTGACCTTGTATAAATTAGAATCAAACCAGCTAGAACCAGCTGAGTCTGGTAGCTCACTGTGTCATCCTGCACTTTGGAGGCCAAGGCAGAATTGTTGAGAAGTCAAGACTAGCCTGTGACTGTAAAAGTTTCCAGGTTATCCTGAAGCACAGTATAGGATCTTGTCCCCAGAAAATCCAAAGACGGAAAAAATAAAGAATCCACAAGTTGTATGGTTGTATGGTACACAAAGAAACCCTATGTCAACCTTAAAAAAAAACAAAAGTTAATTGTGCTGAACTTAGTTGTTTGAGTCTGATGCCCCACATACGGCCACATACAGGGAAAATTCATGTAGTTAATTCAGCAGCAGTACAGCATAGTGTGGAGATATAGTGCTTAGACATGGAAACTCTAGGACATCTGTATTTTCCACAAATTTTAAGCATTAAATAAAAGAAATGTGGGAGGTCCAAATTGTTACAATTTTTATGTTTTCAACAATTTTTATGTTTTCATTTTGAGAAGCCATGTTTCTTCAAGAAAAGATACTAGACCACTGCCTCTAAATTTTAAGGTCTAATAATCTTAATATATAAGTACACTTGGATGTGAAATTTATTTTAATAACACACATATACATAAGCTGTATGTAGCACTACATTAAACAAGTTTATTTTATAAACAATATATATATATATATATATATATATATATTTTATTTTATTTTATTAGTTCTAGTTAGGGAACAAGCTTATTTGTGGGATGGGCTCTCAAAGTCCCTTCTTGCACCAGGGAAAAATACTAATCCACCACCAGAGGCTCCCTGGAGTGCAGAGGCCTCCTTATTGACATCCATGTTCAGGGGTCTGGATCAGTCTTGTACTGGCCTCCCTGACAGCATCTGGGGTCGATGTGCTCTCCCTTGTTCAGGTCAACTGTTCCTGTGGGTTTCTCCAACCTTCGTTATAAACAATATTTTTAACTGATGAACTACAGGAGAAAGAAGTTGACTTGGTGAGATCCAGTGAACATCTGCAATAGTTTTATAGCAGGTTGAAGCACTGTGGTGCTTTCTGTTTTTGCCTGTCTTTGATTTCTTACTTGATTCTTACAAGTTTGCCATTTATAAACATAGATTTTACCTCAAATCCAGTCCTGAGGTCGAGTGCCAGAAAAAGCAAACATCCAAATTTTTATCTTGATGTTATTGTTTTAATTTTTAGAAGCTGTTTAAAACACAATGCCCAACAAAATGGGTCAGGAATACAAAACAAACAAAAAGACAAAACAGAATTATGTAATTATATGTAATAGTCATTCATTATATGACAAGTATATTTTAGGGTGTCATCTAGGATGTAGTTCCTCTGTGGGTCTCCTCAGTAATTAAACCAACTTAAACCAATACTACCAAAAATAAGAGTATAAAATAAGGAGCACATATTTACAGTTTTGCTGGTGTTAAAAGCCGAAAGAAAAATAAAATTGTATCAAATAGTACATGTACATCTTATACCAATGGCATCTGTGCAATGTGTCTCTTTTCCTAACTGTGTCACTCCCTGCCAGCAAAGGAAAGATGATATTAAAAGTAATGGTCATAGGTGGGTGGCTTAAATCCCAGCACTGGGGGAGAGGAGTGGTGGTAGAGGCAGAGGCAGATGGATCTCTGTGAGTTCGAGCCCAGCCTGGTCTACAGAGTGAAATCCAGGTCAGCCAGCAGGGGTACACAAAGAAACCCTATGTCAACCTTAAAAAAAAAAAAAGTTAATTGTGCTGAACTTAGTTGTTTGAGTCTGATGCCCCACATACAGGGAAAATTCATGTAGTTAATTCAGCAGCAGTACAGCATAGTGTGGAGATATAGTGCTTAGACATGGAAACTCTAGGACAGAAAGATGTCCCAGGCAGGGCAATACATAAAACCATAGTACACAGATAAATAACCTTGAGACATGCATATACTCTGTCTTTAAAGAAAGACAATTGATCTTGTTGTATAAAGATGGGAGACATCTTTAAAGTTACCTATCGTGGTTTATGACATACACACACACCATAAACACATGTATAGAATGTGTGTTTAGTGTGTAATTTATTTGCCAACTTTTCCAGTTAAATTTTTGTGGCTCTCTGATCTCCAGGAATGGGGGGGAAAACGTCATCTTCACTACAAGTTTCCACTCCTCCAAAGTTAAGAAAACATATTTATACTAGGAAAGATGTCAATGCCTTGAATCCAAAGACTCAGTTTAGATATTTTGTTCCACAATTCAAATAAATAAAATTAATGGAATTTTCTATTTCTGAGTATATATTTTCAGTTTGCCAGTTGTTTCAGCAAACAAGTATTTTTTATGATTAAACAAGCTGCCACAGAATGTTTGAGAGAGGATATAAACTCTAGATCTGATTGATTAAACAGCAAATCAAAACATGAAAAAAATCCCAGGGATTTACTCCAACTTTAAATAATATATAAAATTTAAATCTCAGATTTCAAAGTAAGTTAAGGAAATATTGCACCTATTCTGTTATAAAGATCTGACAATTGATAGGGGAAAATGTATGTAAATAATTGCAAGAAAAATGTTGGCTTATTTTTCTAAGAGAAACATATCTAACCATACTACTTTGTCCCTTAAATTTAATAACTTCATAATTTGCTGGCAACATTTTAACAGACTATAATATTGAATTATACAACAGGAAAACATCCATCCAAATGTAGTCAAGAAAAATTATATAAGCCTTTTTTAACAGTTAAAAATATACATAACTGGCTATGATTTTTTTAATTTGTAGAAACAACGAATAGTCTTTATAAATGTGCCATGTACAAATATGTACATACATAGATAGAGAATGTAGATATGAAACGTTAATCAGAGTGTGATTTTGAGCAGTGTGTGGAACCAGCAGTTTGTATCAGATCATGACCCAATATGGACCCCACACCTTTAATAACTGAATAATGAAGGAAGGACCTCCAGTAGCAATTTGAGGTGGAAGATGACTAAGTGAGAGTACTCAATATTCATGATTGAGAGCTTGCAGCAGAGAGCTGGCTCAAAGGGAAGCCCATTAGGTTGGGGTTGCTATTCAAATAGTTTTAGCTTCTCCAGGGAACCAGTTTTTTCAGGAAAATAAGTAAGTAGGTCCTCTCCAAGGACAAGATGTGTGAGACTGGTAAGGTGACCAGTACCACCGGGGAGAGTGGTCCCCTGGTTTTTTGTCAAAAACAGTTTCTTTTTTTACTTTTTGGGTTTTTCCAGGCAGGGTTTCTCTGTGGCTTTGGAGGGTGTCCTGGAACTAGCTCTAGTAGACCAGGATGGTCTCAAACTTACAGAGATCCACTTGCCTCTGCCTCCTGAGTGCTGGGATTAAACACGTGAGCCACCACTGCTCTTCGGAAAACAATTTCTATAAATCCCTAAGATAAATGGTTTCATTGGGCAAGGATTCCAATTTATTCTCCTCTAGGTCTAATTCTCTTAATTTGCTAATGTTTCCAAGATTGTGGGGAAGCATCTTTGGAAGATAATAGTAGAACCTCAAGAGAAATAAGTCCTGAAACATCCACTGGTACCTTGGTAAGCTCAGTTAGCTAATGCCTCAATTCAGTCCTAACATACTGGTCCAAGTTCCAAATCTAAAAGAAGTAATGTTAACTGATCGTCCTTCATATTCATCTCAATTAATTTATACTTTAGCTCTGGAGAGAATTCCAAAGTGAGATCTTGTTGATTCTCCTGTGTTTCATGTTGAGGGAATAAATTGTGGAAAACTGAGATGGACCACATACTGGATATGATTCAGCTATTCAATTTTACAGGACTGGACAAAAGACTTTCAGGTGCAGTGTAGAATGTTACTGTTTTCTAATTTTTTAAAAAAGATTTTATTTATTTATTTATTTATTTGTTATACAGTCTTCTGCATGCATGCCAGCAGAGGGCACCAGATCTCATTCAGGGTGGTTGTTAGCCACCATGTGGTTGCTGGGAATTGAACTCAGGACCTCTGGAAGAACAATCAGTGCTCTTAACCGCTGAGCCATCTCTCCAGCCCTGTTTTCTAATTTTTAAGTTCTCAAATTTATGGCAGTTTGCTAATGATCTGGGAATTCCTGACAATCTATTGTATATCAGGGCAAGATGATTTAAATGGGTCGGATTTTCTGTTGTATGTGGGAGGTCTACTTGTTCATTGTGCTGCAAGTCAAGTTATCTGGGTGCAGTTTCCAATCTCCTTTGGAAAGTGTTCAAGTTGATTATGTGCTACATCCAGCACAAAAAGATTGTATCACTTGCCAATCTCAACAGTTACTTTAACATTTCGTTCTCTTGAGTCCCAAGTTGCTGAGCTTAGGCAGGTTTTTTGATGCCTCTTTCCACAAAAGTAGAGAGTGGTGAGAGAATCTGGCCTAGACACCACTGAAGGAATTCCCCATCAGTTTATTATGCTGTAAATCAAGCATCCTCATGCATTCTTCAAGTTATCAAGAATCAGACAAACTGGTCAGTGAACTTCCATTGAGAGCCAGTGTAGATTTACTAAACATCCCCTGTCTGCTGGAAAAGTCTACAATTTGTTGCTTTATAAATTAAAGTTCTGTTAATCGAGTCAGCGTTTTGATTGATGGTAGCAGTATTTGTGTAGTCCATTCAGTGTCCTCCTGCCATTATCAAGCTGCTTACTGGCTGGGTTTTTTTTTTTTTTCCAGTCCCCCTCCAGTCCCACGTGCTGGATTTGGTCATTTGATAGTACTGTTGACTGAAAAAGCCACATCTGATTGGGCAGCACTGGAACACTCCTTTCCATCTCCAGTGGCTTCCTTTGGTTTCTTTCCTAAAACCTCTAGAGGCTTTTGCTTCTTTTCTCTTTCCTGGGTGGATTGTACTTGGGGTATTTCTCTGTAGAATCTTTCTCTTTGCCTCCTAAACTATCACACATGGTGACTTAAGCATAGACAAAGACTACATGAACTTGTTTTATTTGCCAGTGTTGGCAGGGCTGGAGAGATAGATGGTTTAGAGGTTAAGAGCAGTGGTTGCTCTTCCAGAGGACTAGGGTTTGATTCCCAGCATCCACTTGGCAGTTTACAACTGTTTGTAACCCACACCCACTTGGCAGTTTACCACTGTCTATAACTCCATTTCCTGAGGATCCAATGCCCTCTCCTGACCTCTTTAAGCCCTGCACATGTAGTACTTGTATACGTGCAGGCAAAAACACTCATACACATAAAATAAGTGAATTTTAAAAAGTGTTGGCATAAGGAACTAACCAGCTTGGAGTCACATGCACCTGTTACATGTTGGATCTAAAAGTGCTATGGTCAATTCTGATAACTCATTCCAGCTGGTGAATGGAGCTGGGCGAATCACTGCTTTATGACCTCCCACCCGAATGCATTTCCTACAGTCCCCAGTGCTTCCTTGGTGCCTTAGACTTTACCTGAGCCCAGAGGCACGTGAACAATCCACAGCAGGTTCCCAAGTCATGTTCCTGTTTCTCCCTCATTCTTGTAATTCCTTTCTCTTCCTGCCCTCTGGCAGTCTTTGCTGAGCTGCACAGGTGCAGGACAAGACAGTTTTTGTTTGAAATTGAATAAGGAACAGCCTTAATGCTTCTTCCCTCTCTGGACTCATAAAAATGCAAAGTAAGGAGCTTTTCTAAGGCATTCAAATCTATACCAAGTAAAAAGGGAGAAGCCATAGTCGTAATTAGAGACACATACGTGGATGGCTTCAGTTGTCAGACTGTGTTAGAGTACCTGGCCTGTTTGGGAGTCCTTGAAGTTTTAGGTCCTCAAAGGCAATAGGACAAACTGCTTTCTTATCTTCAGACTGGTAAAAATCAGCATAAAAGATAGAAAGTACTTAGGATGGCGCTCAGGCAGTACAAAGGCCCTCAGTGCTCGGTATCTGTTCATCAGTAGCATTGTAGATTTTCATGCTGCTTTGGAAGGCGACTTGGATTGGGATTTTTTTTTTTTTTTTTCTGGTAACTCTACTTTTTGGAAAAACTACATCTCTTACAGCTGAAGGTGCTTCACCTCTGTGATTTCCCATGCTTAGGTCATAGTTTGACTGTATTTACCCGATTTTAAACTAAGCACATGTCTAGAAACATACTTCTGAGTTTACTGTAGGTGAAACCCTAGGCTTTACTTTCTGTTTATATGTGCTTTTAGTTTTCCTTAAAGTCATACACATTCTTCTTTTAATGTTTTGGTCACCACCTCTTTGGAGGTCAAACCACCTTTTCAGAGGTATCAATTAAGACCATCAGGAAACAGATAAAACACAGACATTTACATTATGATTCATAACAGTAGCAAGATTATGGTTATGGGGTAGCAATGAAAATAATTTTGGGGTCACCACAACATGAGGATGTGCATTAATGGTGCAGCATTAGGAAGGTTCAGAACCACTGTTTTGTTTGTTTGGTTTCTGTTTTTTTGAGATGGTTTCTCTGTGTAGCACTAGCTGTTTTGGAACTTGCTCTGTAGACCAGGCTGGCCTGGAACTCACAGAGATCTGCTTGCCTCTCTGTCTCTGCCTCTGCCTCTGCCTCTGCCTCTGCCTCTGCCTCTGCCTCTGCCTCTGCCTCTGCCTCTGCCTCTGCCTCTGCCTCTGCCTGTCAAGTGCTAGGATTGAAATCTCATACCACAGATCACTGCCGGGCTCAGAAGCACAGTTTTAAAGGTTCTTAGAGACTAGAGGCTGGAGAGAAGGCTCAGTGTGTTTAAGAGCACAGAGTACTCATATAAAGGACCAAGCTCTGTTCCCAGTACCCACATCAGGCAACTTGTCACTCCCACTCCAGGAGCTCAAAAATCTTCTGGCTTCTGTGGGTACCTACTAACATGCACAACCCTTTCCCTTACATACATTGCCATAGTTAGAGGATTGAAACTTGTCTTTTATACTTCTTTTACAGTTGAGTAACATGTTGATGAACTGTGTTTTAATACAGACCTTCTAGCATCTTGTAGTTAAGGCTTCAGTGACAGATATGTTTGGAAGATTTTGTCATTGGAATTTTAGTCTTTAGGTGATTAAAATAATTCATTTTCACTTAAGTATTGTAGCTCAACTTTTTTTATTACCAAGCTTGTCTTTTCCATCAACAGTTTGGAAACTTCAGCGGTCATATTCCAGGAATGCAGATGCAAATGGGTCAGCCGATGCCAGGTCCCAGTATGTTCTCTGGCAGTTACCCTGGGTACCTGGCCTACTCTGACAGCTACTCTCCTGCTGACGACTCTATGTGGACTTACTTCACAGCTGTTGCTGGACAGGTGAGTTGATAAATCTTTTACCAAATACTGATCAATAAATGATCACTATTTCAAAGATGTGCCAACGGCTCCTCGTTAATGTATCATTTAAAAATGTCTATAATGCTTATGTGTTAAACTCATGTAGAATAATACTGTTCTTGAGATTGATGAAGCTAGTCATAATTGCTTCATTTTAAAATTTCTGTTGTTTGCTTTTGTTAATTTCAGTGTGCATGTATGTCATATAACCCCTATAGTCTTCCCCATTAACTTTCCATCTTCCTTGCATGTATATCCTTCATTGTTGTCGTTGTGAGATGCACTGAGTTAGTTGGTATCATCAGTTTCACTATCAGATGTCTCTAAGCATGATGACTAGTATACTGCTCATTTGACAGAAAGGGGCAATGTTCCCAGTGACTGGGTGGGGGAGTCTGAATCTCTCTCACCATGTGCTTACTGTGAAGACTGGGTGTGACTTGTCCCATTGAAGCTCATGCTAAAGTGTAATTGCAAATATGATCGTATTGAGCAACAGCAGAGTCCTTAAGAGTGAATTAGATCCTAAGGGTCCCATCCTCATGGTGGTATGAATGTGATTCCACTAGATGGCTTGAAAACAAGTTACTCAGCTCCTTCTTTCTTCTTGGACCTATGCTTTGGTTCTTCAGACACTATATTCCTTTTACACTCATTTCCTCCACACAGAAAAGCATGTGGCCCTCTCCAGAAACTGCTAGTAGCCTCCTGGCTTTCAAGAATGTTAGCCATAATCAACTTGTTTTCTTTCTAAATGTGACAGTTTGTGGTGTTTTGTTATAGCCACAGACAATAGAATATATGACATTTCTCTAAATTCTTTAGCAAAGATTTTATCTTACTAGTTGTTAATAATTGCATCCCAATTTAAATTTTTATTTTTTTTAATTTTTTCCAAATTAAATATTTTTAATACTTACTAGTTGCCTTCTTTTGAATTATGTTTTCATAAAGATTTATTTTGTTTTTAAGTGTGTGTGTGTGTGTGTGTGTGTGTGTGTGTGTGTGTGTGTTTGTGTGGTATGAGTGG